CTTCTCCCTCTGACCCTCTTCCCTCTCGTGCTGTCTCTCATTCTCTCTCTCAAATAAATAAAATTTAAAACCCTAGAACATCTTTAGAAAATCAAGGAGAACAGTGGAGTTGCATTTCGTGTAAATACATAAAAGCATGGGCTTCGATAGTCCAGCTCACCGATGCAGCGCAAAGTGAGTCTAACAAAGAAGTGAGAACATGGCTTAAGGCAGGACAGGTGAAGAGGCTTATGGAAAGGCCCCCTGTGTGGTGAAGGTCTACTTACGATCTCGTCCTCCACATCCCTGTTGAACTGATGGATCTCTTTGGAGGCCAGCAGGTTATGCTTTCTCTCGTTCAAGGGCTCCAGCAGTTCCATGAACTTGGTCTGCACGGTGAGGCGCTTGCTGTCCACCTCGTCGGTGCTCTTCCCCTCCTGACTCAGGGCCTGGGCCTGGCTCTGGAGCTCCTCGATCTCCTTCTTCCGCACCTCCATTTGGTTCTCCAGCATCTGAGGGCAGAAAATATCAGGTGTGTCACACCAGAGACATGGGAGACACGCAGTCCTATAAAATGTTTGTTTTGGGCACTGGCCAAAATGGAAGATCTAGTATAAATTTATATAATGGGGAGTCTAAGAAAGGATTCTTAACATCTACCAAACGACCAATTAATCCCTTTCCAGGACTTTTTTTTTTTTAAGTAGGTTCCACGCCCAGCGTGGTATCCAACACGAGGCTTGAACTCACAACCCTGAGATCAAGACCTGAGCTGAGATCAAGAGTCAGACACTTAACCAACTGAGCCACCCAGGCACCCCCCTTTTCCAGGATTTTTAAACTCAAGAACAACATTCAAGTTTATCCAGGAACTTAGAAGGCAAATGACAAGAGAAACAAGAATTATGGGGAAAAGAAAGTCTTCATCTGCTTGTTCAGAAGCCATAACGATATTGGAAACCTACATTATCCATCAGTAACATCTTAAGGTTCCAGTTCTTTTAGGCAAAAAGGATAGCATGTTTCCACCTTCTCTCAATTTCTTCAATTAGAAGGCTGATTATTTTTTTAAAATACCGGATTACGAGGTGAAAACATGCTAATTGCTTACTTACAGGAGGAGAATGAGCAAAAGTGAAAGCGGGGGTGGGGATCTCACTAAGGAAACATCACATACTGATGGCTGAGAGACAGGGGGTCGCATCTACGAATAAATGGACTCCTTTCTTAGGTAGGGAAGTAAACAGCCACGAGTAAAAAACCACCCTTAACAAAACTCCTTAATGCATAGTAACATAGTCAAATAACCACATCACTTAGCAAAAGGAAGGGTGGGCATCCCATTGAAGAAACAGGCCTCAGCACTCGGCAGAGACATTTCCACAGTGACTGGTTCTAAGCACAACTGTGGGGCTGGGGACTCGGCCACTCAGATAACTAACATGTATCTACTAGATGTTATACAGCAAAGTACGTGAACAGGATTACTTTCCCCTGTGTAAACTACAGAAATGAATGAAATGAATATTTACTCAACTGTTAAATGGTGGTATGTCAACTAAGATGATGACAATAAAAAAAAGTACTCCTGTGCACAGACACCCAATACTTCTACTAATATTGTGTCTTTCCAGTTGATTCTAGCAATGTCCCATGATGCTGTCAGGACAAACACTTTGCTGGGTTAAAACCCCTTCACACAGAAGACAGGTGTTTGAGAATATGGTGGGCGAGTTAAGACCCTAAAGACGATGTCAAAACAGAAAGAGGCCCAAGTATGTGGTCGCCTCGACCACTTGCCTGTTGCTTTTTAAGCAGGATGTTGACGCTGGTCAGGTCTTTGCCATAGTCGTCAGACTGAATCTGGCTCTCCAGGCCGTGCAGCCATTTGTCCAGATCTGCACAGCTCTGGGTGAAAAGTTCAGCCTTGTTTGCATCAAAGAGCCGCTGGGCCTTGGTCTGGGTGGTGGATTCAAGGACTTCCCACATGTTATGTAAACCAGTGAGTTTCTCCTTCACCACAGCTTCTGTCTCAGGCTTTTCTGAAATGAGCTGCATTCCTTCCTGGAAAACATAAATAAATACAGTTTGCTAGTGAGCAAAGGTCACTGTGAAAAACAACCCTAATCTGTGATCTACCTATTCACTCAACATACAGAGCCTTTCCACAAAAGGTTACTGCTTACTAAAATGGACAAGGGCCTAGTCTATGTGCACTACGTGGCTTTCAAGAGTCCAGCAAGAAGTGACCGTGGCATGATGAAACAGTTTCATCTGGGGCAGTGGGGAAGTGCTCAGGACATCAGATTTCATCCCCTCCACTCAGCCCCCAAAGACCCTAACACATTACTTTAACCATTAAGAGTCTAAAACAAGGGATACCTGGGTGGCTCAGTCAGTTGAGCGTCTGCCTGCAGCTCAGGTCATGATCCCAGGATCCTGAGATCAAGTCCTGAATCGGGCTCCCTGCTCAGTGGGGAGCCTGCTTCTCCCTCTCCCTCTGCCACTCCCCCTGCTTGTGTGCTGTCAAATAAATAAAATCTTAAAAAAAAAAAAAAAAGAGTCCGAAACATTATAAAAGGGGAAGAGGGGAACTTCACTTTCATGTTCAGTTATGCTACATAACATCTCCCTGTGCCAAAATAATACGTTTTAAGTTATTACAGTGCCTGGTCACCCAAGAAAAACTGGGAGAACTTAAAAAACAAACAAACAAACAAAAACACATAATCTTTCTCAATTCTGTGCAAATCATCAGTCTCGCACAGTCCAGGACATGTGACAGGATTAAGACAGTGGGGACTCTGTCCAGGGGGCTCACAGCAGGTGAAAAACAAAACAGAAACCCAACAACTAGTACTCACTAGAAGACAAATCAAGCGTTCTGTGCCACACCTGGTTGGGTTTCTGCTTTTCTCCCTTCTACCAAGTCAAACTCAGGAATTGTTAAGTGGGAGAAGGACTGCTCCAGGCTGTGTAACTTCTGTATGGGATCAGTAGGACTCAAAAATCCAAATGGCTATGCTAAAGCGAGAAGCTCACGTCCACCGGGGTCACTCTCATGCCGTGGTCACACCACAGAAACAGGAGCCTCATCAAACATTTTTAATTTCTCACCTTCTCAATTTTGTCGAGCCATTCTTTGTTGGATGCAAGTTCTGCCATAAATGCTTGATGTTTTAACCATTTACTGTGCAGATTTCTGGCTTCGTCATAAGACATGTCCTGGGCAGTAAGCATCTTTTCATTGATCCAGAGAGATAGCTAGGAAAAACAAAAATCAGAAAGGTTTCAGAGATTGTGATCACAGACATCAGCCTTTTTTCTGCCTGGAAAGAGTTGTGTTATGTTGTACTAAGCATACCGCACGTTTCCATGTCAACAGACAACCAAATATTTACTTTACAACCCTGACCCGTCATGACAGGTTATCTCCACTGTATGGGAGATGTACCTGAGCCTTGCTCCAAAGTACATCTCTAACGTTAAATCCGCAAGCACAAAAGCTCTCTGAGCCAGCTTTTAAAGTGTTTGGCATGTGGAACCAGCCTTCCCCCCAAAGACCTGTGTTTAAAATTCTGCCCTAACCAGTCCAAGTCACAATCTTCTTTCTCTTCCAAACACTTGTGCCAGCCATACCACGTTAATCACGATTAACTGCCTTTTACTCTATTCGGTGATCTTTTTACTCTTTTGGTTTTCTATTACGTAGAAAAAAGACCCAACACAAAACCCCCACTCTTTTTTCCCACAGCACATCTATGGGAATGCCAAAAAACATAAATTGCTTGCTCACTGTAGGAGTAAGGCAACAAGGATGCCCTCTTAAAGTTGCCTTCAAAGTTTGAGTCACCTTCACCTCTCTTTCTATAGCCTCTATTTCTCTCAAGAGCCTCCTATTCAGACCAAGAACACTCCCCAGGACTTGATTTGAGACCCAACATGTCTCCTTGGGTCTAAACTCCAGCAAGGCTCACAAAGCCTGCCAGCCACTGACAGATTGTAGTTCTCTCATGAGGCCGACGGTGGGAGCCAGCCCAGCCCCAGGCCCTGGACACATTGCCCTTGCTGGCTTTCATCCCAATTCGCTCGGCTCCTTATTGCCTGTAGTTGGCCATGCCAGGTCCTAATTCCTACCCCGTGCACAGCACTAACCTGGGAACAGCTGTTTCCCTAATAGGAAGATACACAAAGGAAGGCAGGATCAGAAGAGACCCTGTCCCTTTCTCCTGTGTGACCATGAGAAGCCCAATTTTTACACCAGTCGCTGCCACAACAAATCTGCACCCCAAACCCTCCATGGTCCAATCTCCAAGGTTTAGAAATGGCATAGAGAACCAAGAGAACCTTCCCTCCCAGGACCAACATTTGCAAGGCCAAGAGAACCTTCCCTCCCAGGACCAACATTTGCAAGGCCATTCACTCACACTCAGGGCTGCTGCTGGGAAAGGCTTTCCCATTAATTTGTTTAAACAACACAAAGTCTGTTCTTTGAAAACGATGTCAAGGAGGGTGATGTAGGTCACAGGAGCACCCCTGGCTCTGAATATGGGCAAATTCCCAGGCACCATGTCTACCTTTCTCAGTATATTCACCCACCATGCAGGAGGGGGGGGGGTGTGGGTAGAAAGCAAAAGGGAGTGAAATCTTTGTTGTCATTCTTTATTGAGGTGAAAAACCAGTAAATCTCATACAGCTCTTGGTAAGCTAGGAACATAGGTTGGTTACATAACAACAGAGACACTAAATTTCCTACTTTAAAAGAATTAACTTTTTTCCAGTTATCTGGGTAGCTCAAATCTGAATTACTATGGCCATTCATTCAGTCCAAGGGGGAAAGAGGTTAAAAGGAAGCCAAATGGTAAAACTTCCCCTGTCTTCCACATACACACAGATTAAACACAATAGAAGGCATTTAGCCAAAGTGCAAAGGACATTCACATATTTTCGCTATTCATAACCACCTACCCAGAGAGATTTAAAAAAAAAAAAAAGCTACATAAAAATCAGAGGCTTAGAAAGAAATCTGCTTTTTGCTGAACACATCATCCTACAGATAAAGCACCATGAGCTACAGCACAATGAAATGGGGCTATGGAACTTGCTAGTTCATCAGCCCTTCATCAGAATTCTGCAATCAGAACCACAGTTATTATTCGTGGGCATTTGCAAAGGTCATTTAAGAATATACTCATTCTCTGCAAAAAAGAACACTGTGCAGATTGGAAAGGGATAGGAAAAATGCTTTGATCACTGATTCAAGCTCAGAGCAAAGCAATGGAACTCGCTATCCCTTGTGCCACACAAGTCTAGTTATACTGCCCTTCTAAAAAACCTTCAGTTTCTGAATGTAGTTTCCCTATGGTGTGAGGGAAGAGAAGAGAAAAGCAGTAACTTCTAAATCACTTTTCAGGAATTCACACTGAAATACTGCTGCTTTCTATACCCGTCTACAACTGGGAATAGGGAGGCCCCTGCAGTAAATTTCCCCATCTGGGCAGTGGTTACTGGAAGTGGCAACAAAGGCAGATCTCACAACCCGTGTCTGCTCTAGCCAAGGCACCCATGGGGAAGGGACTGGGGACACAAATTGGACTCCCGAGACTTTGGACAATACCCATAGCCAGCAGGGGTACTAAATCTGACCTCTGAGTGCTCTGGAAGTTTCTCGGAGCATAACAGGTAGATTTTCAAATGCAAAGCTGGTCCATACACAGACTCCATTCTCAGAGATCCTGCCTTGAAGGGTATTTTTTAACTTTTTTTTTAAAGCGGGAGAGGGGCATAAGGAAAGGGATACTCTTAAGCAGACTCCATGCCCAGTGTGGAGCCCAACTTGGGACTCAGTCTCATGACCTGAGCAGAAATCAAGAGTCGGACGCTTAAAAACGGTATGTATTTTAATGAGGCTGAATGATTCAGAGTTCACAGCCAAAGAATACCACACACCTCCCCTTTGCTTGAACTTCTATACCAAGGGTTTTGGAGCTTCCAAACCTGACCTACATTCAGTCACTCCACGGAAACTCTCCATGCTGACGTGGGAGAGATGGCACCCCACAGCAGATGCTATGGTTGTACTAAATTTTAATGAGGCTCAAGGAAAGAAAGGCTAAACCAGGAAGACTTGGCAGAGCAGTCACAAAGAGACCTGCACATCATTCCCAGGACTTAACAGGCCAGCCAAAACCTTTCTGCATATTGTGAGGGGAAATCATGGCAGGACTGAGCCCTCAAGGCATGCCCAACAGTCACTGGTGCGTGGTAAGGAGTGAGCTCCTTACAACCAAGGGTGCTAATTTGGAACAAGTAGTAACGAAGATCTAACAACCCAGTAAGACGATTTCCTGTGATTCCACTGGGAAGGACTATCATTTTATCCATTTACTTTTCCCCATGTTTCTACTTATGAATCCACATATATGTCAACAGAAAACAGGGGAAAACTTCACCTGGGTTTCTCTCAAGGCTTCCTCTTGTCTCCTCACCTCCTGCTCATTTTCTGGCATTCTTTCACCCAAATTTAGCCTAAGTTTCACCATGCTGAGGTCCATGAATTTCATCTCATTAAACTTGCCTTTTAAGCAAGAGTATGGAATCCTCTTCACTCCATCCTCCCCACAAGATGGCCTGAGGTTAAAATGAGTCATCGATGACAGGGGAACCATCAAGGGGTAATACAGGGACCTCTAGTGTGTCAAAGGCAAAGCCCAGGCTGCAAACAGCTCCTGATCTTTCCAGGGCTAAAGAGTCACTGGGTATTCCCTGTGGAACAACACGCAGCCCTACACAGCTAACTTCCGATCCCATTACTCTTCTCTATGCCCTGTCTGGGGGACACGGATACCTCATTAAATGAGCATCCTATCCAAATGGGTTATTAACGTTCAGTGTCACGTGAAGAGGCTCTCTTGTCTTCAGCCTGTCTGGCCCCAGGCAAATCCCCCACAGATCTAGATTCATCAGAATGGCACAGGAAGCTGACAGACCCTAACCTACAGAGTTCAGGGGCTTTCTTTCTGAAGCTTTAGCTGCTGGAGCATATTGCAAGATTCACAGTAAGACAGCAGTTGAATGGACATGAAGGATCACTTGTCACACATGATCTAACACAACTGCTGTTAGGGCTGTATTTCTTCTAACACACAGCAATGTGTTTGCAGGCAAGGTGTTGTGATGTTCAGTCATGTTCTTCACACAGGCCCCGATCCTGTCCCCACACCCACCAGTTGCCCTCCCCCAAGGTCCCTGCAGCTTCCTTTGGATATTCTTCATCCCATTTCTGCCTCTGAGGGGATTTAACCCAATAAACCAGAGAGGACGGAGTCTCACTGTTGTTCTCTAGCAGACAGAAAAATGAGATGTGCTCATAAACTCATGAACATGTGAAGGCAGCCAAATGTTATTCTCCAGTTAGCCTGCAGAAAGACTGCATTTTTCTGGCTAACTTTAGTTTTCCAAGTTTGTTTATGCACGTATCAGGGGGGCATGAAATAGTATGAGACTCATCAGATTAATACCACATGTTAAGACTCGGGAGTCTGAAATAAGAATTGCTGCTCTTGGCATGTTAGACACGTATTCAAGGAACCTGAAAGATGGTATTTCAAGGTCTTCAGTGAGTAAGAAACTCAGTCCGTATTTTTCAAATCTTTGCTTCTTACCTGGGTAGCCAGTTCCTATTCCTCTTAGTTCTTCCCTTCTTACTTACAACAGGATATTAAATGCATTTAGATTAAACGTTCTGGGGTATCATGCGGTCTTCGACGATGAAAACGTTCTAGATCTGCATTGTCCGATATGGCAGCTGCTAATCACAGTTGGCTACTGAGCACTTAAAATCCACCTAGTATGATGGAAGAGTTCATTCTGAATTCTATTTAATTTTAATTAATTTAAAATGAAATAGCCACATACGGCTAGGGTCCACTGTAATGGACAGAATTCTGGACTATTCTGATTAGAAGAATCTAGTTACTCTAAGTGGTAGCTTGCAGGCTAGAGGACGGACGAGGTGCCATACTGGCTCAGCTAGAAATAAACTTCTGGGCCTCAATTAATTTTATAATCCCAAGGACTCTTCTGCCAAATGCTCTCACTCTCCTTAGAAGAAAGGAAGGGAGGGGCTGCAGGGAGACATACCTCCTGACAATCTTGCAGGAATTTCTGAAGATCCCTGTTGTCCTTCAATCTCATCAGAAGTTCGCTGGCTGCCTCACGATTCTTCCTATGTCTGTTAAAACAAGAATAAAAAACAGCTTTTAAAAAAGGAAACACAGAATCTTGAAAGACTGAATTTACAACTCAATGTCTTTCCTGGGTTTCTACATATGATAAAAGCAGTTTGCTTGTACAGTTCTCATTATGTCAAAAAGGCAAGATAAGCAAGAGAATTTAGCATCCTCCAAATGAGTACGCGAGACCAAAACACCTGCCCAAGCCACAAAACAGGCAGAGGATGGCCTCAAATGAGCCATGTAAATCCAGTGCTTCCTAAGTTGGTGCGAGGGGAAAAAATCTGAGCATGTACTGTGTACAAGTCCCCATCTAAGGCACTGCAAGAGAATTTGAAACTCCTCTTTAAGAAACTGGGGTGACAATGTGTGGCTAAGAAAATATAGATAACCATATAAAACTGGCTTTAAATTAATGTCTCCTAAACAGATATTTTCCCACCTTGAGAAAAACTCCCCTCAAACAATGAACCAAGAATGAAAATTTTGAGATGGGTGAGATTATCTACCTACTAGACCCCACTCTTTATGAATGGATAAGCGTAATCAAGGTTGAATGAAGCTGAAGCACAAAACCTTAAGCAAAAATTCCTAAGAACCAGTAGGAGCTGCTAAGCCTGGGAGTGACAAGGGAAATGGGGTGCTGGCTCCCCAGCCTGAATGCTGTACACAGGGCTTCTTCACACACAGCATCACGGTGCCAGAACTCCGCAGCGAACTTCCTTCCCGCGCCCAGTGGCTTAGGCTCTCCACCAGAGACGGTGAGGACCAGCTACGGGAATGCCGGAGTGCCGTGAGAAGGACGGCCTCGACACAGCTCCGCGGCCCCAGGGAGGAGCTGCGCCACGCCGAGAGCCGAGCAGCACTGCCGTGATACAGCTGCCCTGGCATGCCTGAGGAATCCACGCCAGCCGGCCAGCCTAACTGAAGGGTATTAACTGGGGCAATGAGGAGGCTGGGTTTTCAGTCTGAGTCTCAAAGCAATTTCTTGCTGCATGTGCTCGGGCAAGGTCTCTCTCGTTGGGCCCCCACGGAGGGATGAGGAAGAACACAACCTCCGATTCTCTCCGATGCCACGAGCAGCTCAGGGAGCTCTAGCTGCTGACTGACCTTTAAGAACCTTCCTCGGGAGCAAGAGCAAGCTTAGAGCGACGCTGTGGGTGACACGGGCCCGCAGTGAATGCTAGCAAAACGGACCGTGGGAACACAGCAGCCGTCATCTGCCTGGGGAACCGAAGGGAAACGCTCTCTGGTCCTACAGGGTGCCAGTGCCTACAGAGCAACTGGAATAATACGAGTGGAAATAACACCGCCAGGTATATGCTAGATACGCACAACGACTTTCTCATTTTTTTTAGTTGAAAGGGGTTTCATAGCTTCAGGAAAAGGGACCTTAGTATTCTTATATCACTTAGGTAAAATGCAAAAATAGAGAAATACTTCTTAAATAATGCTAAATGGAAAGAGTGTATGCATGTTCAATGGTATAAAACCCCATGGCACAGATCGGAAAGTGCCAGGGATAAGATTAAAGGCTGTACCTTCTCTCCCCACATTTTTCACATTATATTTCTTTTATAACAACAAAAAATAAAGGCCAAAGCCTCTTTACTGCATTGATACCCTTTCTCAGATACCAAAAATTTGAAAAAAAATTTAGACTGTTAGTGAATTTGGGCTAAAGGAATTACTGTCTAAAAATGTGGGTGGGGAAGGAATGTCCAAAAAAAGCTCAAGTTCCCAAACCTCAAATTCCAGTCACTATTTGCAGGGGGCTGTAAGAATATAAAGCCAATCTTCAGGAGGAAGGTAATTTGGATTCAGGTACAAAATGCAGGAGGTCCTGCCTTTAGTCAAAGGTCTTGAGTAAGAGACCCAGGTCCCTTCACGGTGCCACACCCAAGTGCTCAGAAGGCGAGGAGGAATCAGAAACTGGCAGCTACAACAGGATACGCACCCGTGAAGCTCATGGCAATGGTGGAGATAAAAATAATTCAAACACTGCCTGAGAAGTCTCACCATGCAGAAACACAACCAAACAGAATCCTGAAGGTAGCTTACATACTTAAGTCTCACACGTGCCCAACAGATTTCTGGCCGGGCAGTCTCTCTCTTCTAGTGGGACCAGGGAGAAGGGAAAGGCCAAGTGGTGACCTGGGGCCCCGTGTCCAAATGACACAGATCTCCAAGAGGGCACGATGATGGCATCTGAGGGGTATGCTCTGAGGAGTGAAAAACAGCTACAGGGGCAGCACGACACTTGTGCGGACTCGGAAAACCCTCGAGAGAAGTGAGTGGGGCTTCACCGTTCACCAGCAGCAACCAATGGCATTCGGGGAAGGCCTTTCAAGCTGGATCCTGGATTTAATGATAGGAAAGGAGCTTCTAAAACTTGGCCGTAGTTTCCTACAGTCCTAAGGGTGCTCTTTGTTTGGGGAAAGATTAAATCTGTTGCTTTATTTCCATTTCTCACCTTCTACCCCTACAGTTCGACTCAGAATCTTCTTCATCCTCTGAGGCAGATGCTAGGTCTACCTCTGGTTCTTGTAAAAAGTAAAGAACCACAGGTGCCTGAGTAAAACAGATGGATACTACAAAAACTTTTTCCCGTGTGAGACAGGGTCTGGCTTTACGAAGCTGGGTCCTGTTTCCTTGCTCTCCCAGGACTGCACTGTGGCTGGAACTTCCTTTGAGCCAGGAAGCTCACCCATTCACACTCCCTGGGGCCGGCTTGGACAGCAGGCTCCTTTCCACCCAGGCATGAGCACTTTAAAGGTCACTCACACCCCACCCACATCTGTTAAGAGCCAGTGTCTTTGTTCTGGTATTTTTTCATTTCAACAAACTCAGTGGTAATTGACAAGATTTCCAGAATGTAAGCGCATTATAATGATTTTGCGTTTTATGAAAATAGCTTTACCAGAACGTTTCTGGACAGGGGATTAGATCTGAAGATTCAGATATTTACTTAGCTTGTGGGCCCACAGCTGTGTATTTTGATAACAGACAAGTATCTTCTGGGATCAGTTTCTGATCCCCTCTGGAGATATGAAAGTGAAACCAGAATTCAGTGAACAAGAGCTGAGGAAAACGTAGTCATCCTGAGGGCCGATCAATGGAAAGCCCCCTCCCCCTTCCATCTTTCTTTTGTTTATGGATAGTATGTTCCATTTCTTCTTCAAGACAGAAATCCTAAGGAGGCTCTGGAAGCCCAGGAGCCCAGGCTCCAAGTCAAGGGCAAAAGGAAGGTTAAACCACAACCGAGGGCTGCTGAAACATTCTCTCCTACCCACGAGTCTCCAGTCTTGACAATATCACCTGCTTCCAAAAACCCCTCACAGCTGCAGCACCAGGGGACGTATAAACACACACAGGAAAGTGTAAGGCAGCTGCACGCCTGCCTGGAAGCACGCGTCCCTAACGGCCAAGTCCGCCCTCAGGAAACCAGACATATGCATCTAACAGAGACGAGCCTGACGTGCTGTACTGACAAAATAACTCAAGATTTAACATTAGGAAAAAAGGAAATTCTTTTTCTCTAAGTTAACAATACCTTGCCTAATCTTTGTTTTTTACACTCACTCAAGGGTTTGGTGGATTTATTTTTCTTTTTTGTAGTTGTTTGAAGAGCAACAGATACAAAATGAGAATATGTTACACCCTATTCCATGGTAGCACCCTTCAAAGGTACGGTTGAAAAAGATAGACTTGGAAGTGCTAAAGCCAAAAGCTCAGTCTTCATGGGGAGGGAGAGTAATTCCCCCTTTCACTCCGTATCATAAAAACTTCATAAGGCCGAGGGTCCCAGATACGGTAAGTAAGGAAACATTCTCAGCAAAAAGTTCTTCCTTTTCACTGCACTTGAAAGCCAGAAAAGAAGCCTGTTTGTCAATGATATCAGTTTAAAAACGAGCCCTTAAATCCAGCCCAAACTGGGACCATAGAAGATCGGGAGGAACAGAGGCTGGAGACTGACCTAGACAGGCTAAACCAGGATGCAACTGGCCAGACCAGAACCAGCCTATCCTGGTGCATCCAAACCTTGGTCTGTCCTGAGCTCCCACTTTAGTAACAGGCAAGGCAGGGTGAGAATGACGCTTACAAACAGAGTACACTGGCCTTCAGGCAGGGAGGAAAATCATAACTGCAAATAAATGAGTAAACAAAAATAAAAACACCAAATCTTAGCGATGCCTTGGCAGAAGAGGAAAGGGGCCTTTCTCTCAACAGGAAAAAATCCTATTATAGCATTATCCCAGCCAATTTTCTGAGATGGACCTGATAATGTTCCTTTGTGGCTCTGCCAAGTCCTCAGGACAAGCAAACCTCGCCGTCTCTCCTTACTCCCTCCTGAGAGTCTTCAGAGGAGTCTGGCGTGAATGAAGGTGAACGTGGGCTTAGCTGGGGAAGTGAGGCTCTTGAGGCCTTGTCACGAGACAAGGCTACACACTTCAACTCTCAAAGGGCACGGCTTATACCCTATTGCTAATTGGCATCACGGCTCTTATAAATCTTTGATTAAATAGAAGTTTGGCTTCTCAGGGTTTCTGTTCTTTTGTGGACACCTATACATGCCTGACCATGAGAACCACCTTTCCAGGCAGCCAGGTGCTGCTCACTGATTTTCTGTGGTAGATAAATTAAATTTTGCCAGCTATCCAGACCCTGCTCACTGGGTAATTTATACCCACAGTCCCAAGGACTTGTGGCTAATGCCTCAGAGGCTTGGGAGTCCCAGGGTACCAGACTCCCTCAGGAGCCTGAGCGCCATACCTGTCATCGATGGAGTCCACCTTCTCCTGGATGCGATCTGAATTGATGTTCCCATCGCTCACCAGCCTCCGGCCCGTCTCCACAACAGCGTTGATCTTCTCCTCATTGGCATCCATGGTGGTCATGAAGTCCTCTTGTTTTTTAATAGCTGCTTCAGCTCCTTCCAAGGTGGTGGGCATTTCAGTGTGGGCCAAAACGTACTCCTTTTCAAAGAGAGACAACCAAAACCACAGCAGGATGAAACATCATGAAATACAACTCGTTTCCAAAATAATGAAAGCACTCTTTCCTATGTCCTAAGTTTCCATGCAACACATACTTCATAATACCTGCTCCATTATACTTAAACAATCTACTGAATCCGAGAAAACAAAAGGTTGGGAGGGAAAAAAACCTAGCGGGATCCCATAAGGAACAAAATTTCCTTGGTTAAATGGCTAAATTTTCTCCCAAAGTGAGGAAACCAAGCAGTGCTTTATGCATCAGCCACCAGGGTCCTCTCATGTGCCCACTGCCCAGTGGCAACATACTCTTCAAACTCTCTCTTCGAAAGAGATTAACAACCCTGATGTTGGCCACCATCTTCAGCTGTTTCCTTTCTCTAGTTTCTGCCTTATGTCATTGGGTGAAGTCCCTGAATCTTCTAGAGCAAGGAAGACAGAACCACTTAGTTCCTCCACCAAAAAAAAAGGAGAAAAAAGAAAAACCCAAGAAAATAAAAAAAACAATCAAACAAAAAACCCCCCTCACTGTACTTTTCGAATCATCAAATTGGATTACTGCCTTACAGAATATTGCCAATCTAATGCGATACTATGAGGACATGCTATGAACGTAAGAGATCCTCGAGAGTGGCTGAAACAGAATGGTACTCTGCAGGGCAAGACACTCCCGCAGGAAGCTTCAGCTCCCATCCCTACTTTGGATAGGTTTCAATGCCTTGGAAGTTGGAGGGTAAAAAGCCTCTCAATTATCCTTCTGTTTCCACACAGGACTGCTCTGAACCAGCAGCCTGGCTAGAAAGTTTCAAAGAGCAAGCAGGACCTGCTGTACCAGGAAGGAAGCAAAGGCAGGTGAGGAGCAGTACCTGGTTGTTAAGGAAGGCCTCGGCCTGCTTCGTGTCCCTAAGAAACTGCTGGTAGGCATGTGACTGGGAGAGGAGATTCTGCCTGTTCTCCCACATTTTGTGGAGCTCATTCCACCCAGTGTCCAGGGCCTGCAGACGCTGCCGCAGAAACATGTACTGGGCGTCAGTCTGTCCCTGGGTGACCATCTCGCCCATGTCCCTCATCTTCTGGTAGTCCTCCTCGTAGTTGTCAATCTCGTTTTTGATGTTCTCGTGCTGTGTGAGGAGCTTCTCCGCCTCGGTTAGGGTGTTGGGCATGTCCTCAGAGGCGATGGCCGTCTGAGTCCGGGAGAGCCAGGACTGGAAGTCGTCCAGGTCCCGCAGGAACTGCTGCAGCTTGCTGGCCTCTCCCAGGGAGGCCTCGCGGTTTTTCAGGGTGGTCTTCATCTCCTCCCACACGTCGCTGATCTCGGCCAGCCGAGACAGGATGGCCTGAGCCTGGTCGGGGTGCTCGGACTCAAGCTTCTCGGCCTCTTTCTGCAGGTCGCTTAGCTTCGCCTCAATGGCCACCAGGTCCCGCTCCATGCCGGTCAGCTTGCGCTGCAGGGCCATGACCCCGGCCAGGTCGTTGCCCAGGTCCTGGGTGGACTCGATGACCTTGGTCTTCTCTCGAATCCAGGATTTGGTTTCATTGCACTCAAGGTGGTAGTTCTGTATGCTCAGGGCAGAGAGAAGAGCGTCCTTCTTCCTGTCCACCAGCTCCCGGAACTGACTCCACCTGTAAGCACAAGGGCATGGAGAGAGCCGTGTCAGAGACTGGCTGCCAGCTCACGGCTACACGGTGACAGTTACAGTCAAGGTCAAAGTGGTCATGTTTTCTCTCCATCTCTGCTATGAGAATAAATGCTTTTTGAACAATCATCTCACTCAGTATATGTACACCAAATTATCATCTCAACAGCTCAGAGACACGATATAATCTGGAAAAAGCCAGACATGAAGAGGCACTTGTTCAAGGAGCTCCAGTGTGGACAGCACATCTGTCCCCCAGAGTCAGTTACTTTTCCGTAACTGCATTTCTGCCACGCGCATTTTACTTATCTCTGAACTGCACCTAATGAACATTTTCCAAACCCCAAACGCCTGACAGTCACCTTCAGAACCGAGGCCACCATAACCTACTCAAATGTGTTTATCCAACAGAAAGATAACATCAGGACAAAGGTCTAACTTGATAATCAAGACTTCCACTCGCCAATTACATCTAAAACACGTTAAAATTCTGTTCCAGAAATCATCTCAAAATCATATCCAGAAATCAGGAGCCACCTTGATGCCATGGTCCTCCACACTGGGGACAGGTCTCACACTAACACCTTAACTTCTGATGTGGAGCCAGGCAGGGGCCAGGCTACCTTGAATGACATCACCCCAAAAGACACTTCTTGCAAAACCAGGGTATGCTGAAACGCAGATGCCAATGCTGTGACATCAGGGCCACATTATCAGTGACCCTGGGTGGGCAATTCCCGACAAGCCTCCGCCAGTGACCTCGCCCTCCCTGGTCTGACACACAGGGAGCCAGCACACCGCTGGCTGCACACTCACCTCGTGTTGAGTTTGTCCTGCTGGGCTTTGATTTCCTTCTCACTCGGGTGGCCGCTGTGCATGAGCTGCCGTGCAATCTGGTTCACCACGGCGACCCGGGAAGCCTGGTTATTCATTTCCGGTTCAAGGCTCTCGAATCTGGAAAGGCAATTCAACAGGGTACTCACCTCCTTGGTCATGGGCGGAAACAAGGGGCGGCTGGTGGCCCCAGCACCCCCGGCAGCACTCCCACTCACCTGTGCTGGATGACTTCCAGGTCCTCCAGCTTCTCTGGGATCTGCATGTTGTTGAGCCACAGCTCCTTCTCGTCGATCCAGAGCTCACAGGCGTCAGCCTCACTGAACATCTTGTACAAGGCCAGGGTGTCCTGCAGCGCCTGCTTCCTCAGCCGCGTCAGCTCCGCCACCTCCTTGTACCGTTCCTCAATTCCCGACAGCCTGCCCCTCACGTCCGGAGACTCGGCATGCTCCTGGGGGAGGGCACCAGCCTGCTCGTGCAGCGTGTCGATGGTGGGCCTGTAGTTGGCGATCTCCTCTGCCACGTCCTTGTGTTTCTTGACCAGAGACTGTGTGGAGTACTCATCGTGGCCCACGTCATTGCTGGAGACGATCTTGAGGATGTCCAGCATCCAAGCGTCGATGTCGTCGGCATCCGCCTGGAACTGGTGCAGCAGCGAGGCCTCCTCCAGGCGCTTCTTCCGAATGGCCGAGAGCTGCTCCAGGTTGGCCCACTGCTCCCGGATGTAAAGGATCCTCTCTCGGATCTTCTCTGACCCGAAGTGCTCCTCCGCGATCATGTCTTCACCTTCCTTGATGGCCTGTTCAAAGTGGCCGCTGCGGCCGCTCATCTCATCCTCGAATGCCCGGTGCTTGCTAAGCAGGCGCATGACGCTGGTCAGGTCCTTCCCGTAATCGTCGGAGGACAGGATCTTCTCCTTCTCCCGTATCCAGCCCTCCTCTTCTGCCATCTCCCAAAAGAACTTCCAGAGGCGGCGGGACTCTTCCAGACGAGCCCTGCGTTCAGCTGCCAGCTGGCAGAGTTCTTGGTAACAGAACTCCATGTGGGCCACACGGTCTCGGATCACCTGAGGGTCGCAGGGCTTGTAACCTGTTTAATGCAAGGAAGTGATGTGGAGTCCGGCAGTTTGCAAGTAGTGAGTTACACCCATTTTCTCACCACCAGATTACCAGTTCCATTCTCGGTGCAGGGCCATGTTATAAGGCAATGGAGAACCTCCCAGGGCCTTGACTGGAGGTGGGTGGGTGGGTGCAGGGCAATGTTAAGTGTTATTTTTCGCCCCAAGTGCAAAGTGATCATTTATGAACCAAAGAAGCACATAAACCATAAAAAAAGGTCAGCTGCAATTAATTGTTTCTCAAATATAAGGAACACAACCAAATCCTTCCAAAGATCCTTTAAACAAGGGTATGTACGACCAGATGTGAAAGCCAGGAGATGTTTGAGCAGCCACACCAGGGTGCTGGTATGCATCGAGTGTGGTCTAGGCAAAGCCTGACTGCCAAATATCACCACTCAAAACCAAGCAGTACTTGAGTATTTAATGGAAATATATGTCCATTTCAGAAAAGCCTGACAGAGTTAAAGTATCCAGAAGGCCACCCTACTGCATCTCGTGTACCCATGACAAACTCACTGGGAACCTACAATGGCACGGTAACTTCAAAAACCCCACTGCCACAGACAACTTATCTACTTCTATAGAGATGGATCTCTGGTGGCAGAGAAGTTAAGGTCTGCCAACAGTCCATCCTTACCTTCCCCGTCTGTTGCAAACTTCTGGGCAGAAGCATTGACACCTCTCACCCGCTCTGCCTGGATGCCAATGTCCGCTTCGACCAGGGCGTGCTTCTGTAACAGGTCTTCCACACCAAGCAAGTGTTTGCCATAGTCTTGAGACAGTAACAGCACCTGTGCACCAGAGAAAACAGAGGGCACATCTGTGCAGACAACCTCAGCTTCGATGTCTTGTACTCTCTGGACAAGCTGCGAGCCAGGAACCACACCACACCCTCTCCAGCCAGCCATCCTCCCTGCATCTTCTAGGGGAGCAGAACGACAAGCATATTGGAACAAAGCCAAACTAACCCGAAAGCCTGCATAAGGAGAGACATAAGAAACTGAAGATCATCTACCCTGGAATAAGCAGGTCAAAAATACACTAAGAAGTGAACAGAAAAAAAGGGAGCGGGGAAGCGGTAGGACGTGTGAACTGGGGCTCGAAGAAGAAACCGCCACAGGAACGATATTCCAGAAGAGAAGAGAGAAACGTTGTAGTTATTTCAAAGTTAAAAGAAATCTGCCAGAAGTTGCTGACGCCTTCCATGGATGTTTTCCTCGGTTAAAAGCTTACTGGTGTGCCTTGGTAATACTCACATTGTCAATGGGAGAAGAATCTAGTTGAAAGCTTACAAACTACATCCTTAACCAAGTAAAAACAGGGTCAGGTGGCTTCCTGCTTAATAGGGCCTGAGCAATTCCTTTGGTTTAAGTTTGAGTCCACTAACACTTTCTTTTCTTCCTTCCATCAGCCCAATTTGGGGGCCTCATCTGACTTCCTCTCCAGATGGAATTTCTACTTCACTCCTACTTCTGAGGGAAGTCTCTGGCCCAAAACCTGAACTTTAATGTACAACATGATTTATAAGATGAGAAGCGCCTCCCTGCTAGATTTTATGAACATTTCTACTTTGAAAGGTCAACACAGACCATACTTGAGAACATCATAAAACTGGGACAATAAGAGGGCAAACTGATGGGACAAGGTGACCCTACCCCTCTGCCAGGAACGGCTCAAGAGGTTAAGTAAAAGACGAGGGCTTATATCCCAGGAAGCAATCCCTTGCATAAGGTCGAGCTTGGGAACACAGCACGCTGAGACAAAGGGGGCTTCGCTGTACTGTCTACAAACTGCCCTGTTCTGCTCCAGCTACGGAGCTAAATGCCTTCCAGCTGGGGGACTGCTTGACATGGATGAGCCTTCGACGGCCTGCAGCAGAGAACACAAACGGGCACAGGGACTTGGCACAATGGCAGGTCTCTTCCTGGGCAGGAGGAAAGCTTGGAAGTCTATGCTCTGGGCTGTCAATTAAGGAAGGGGAAACACAAAGTGGCTTGGGCAGCCATTTCCAGCCAACCCTGACCTATGACGTGTACACTATTCCCACACTTCATCCTGCTGTAACCGAATGAGGGAGGTGGTCAGTGCGATCTCAACTTAAAAACGGAGAAAGGAGGCTCAAGGAGACTACACGGCTCCAGCACTGACAACGTGAACTGGGGTTGCCCGGTTCCCAACCCCCACTCCGCCCCACACTGCCTAGCCCTCTCCCATCTGCCCACATTACCTTCCTGGGCTCCTCCCCCAACTAGAGCCACTCACACACAGATCAATGACATGGAAAACTAGCTCAACTCTCAAGAGCTAAAAACACAGAAAACCATAATTTGATTGATTCCCTATGGTGGAATAGATCTAAATTAAATCTAAATCACTGTAGCAGACCTGTAGCTACGGAACAGGTTTTCAATGCAACTTTTTCACACCTCACATCCCATTTAACTCCTGAACTAACAATCTTCCCACAGCGAATGTGGCCCCCTTTGGCTTTACAGAGCGGGCAGTTAGGGCACACTGGACGCTGTGTGGTCAGTGGGGGGGGGGGGGGGGGGGGTGCCAGGAAGGAGAGGTCCCGCTGGATAAGCTCTGGCCTCCTTTCACTCAAGTTCTACCTTCATTTCGTCCATCCAGTCCATAATGTAGAGCATTTCCTGGAATATCTTTTGCAACCCTAGGTTCATCTCGAGACGCTGCCTCCGGGCCTTCAGCAACTCCAGTAGGTACTCCCAGAGCCGGATGACATTGTCTTTCCTTGCTGTGATGCGCTTGATGTCATGGTAGTTCTCCGCCTCGAGCTCCCTGGCCACAGCGACCACAGCCTGCACGCGTTCCTCGTACGCGGCAATGTCTGTCTCAATGGCCTCGTGCTTTTTTGTGGCGGCTTCAACTGCAGGAAGGTCAAAACCAAAGTTGTCCTATAGAGAAACGGGGGCAAAAGGAAAACCACACAGAAAATAAAAAAGCCATCCAACTGGAACAGAGACAGAAGTTGAATCTCGAACACAATCTCTGGTGGTCCTAAAGCCACAATGACTTGAGCCCCACCAGCTGCTGGTCTCTGCCTTCCCTAGGACACTTGAAACTCCGTTAGAGCTACGATGCCCTCCCCAAAGCAAATCAGCAACTTCTCATTTTACAGAGGGGTGCAAGCTTGTATCTAGCATCTTATGCTTATGTGACTGGAGCAGGTGACAGTTTGTGCGAACCCAAGGAGAAGGCAAAGTCACTTTTACTTATTTCATGACCAGTCCAACTGTCAAAGATGAAAGGTAAGAGAAATCTCTAAAAATTATATAAATGTGAGTTCACACTCACTCACTGGCTCTAAACAAACTCTGCTTGAGCTGCTTCCAAATCTATGGAAAGTTAGATAAACAGAAGACCAAGTACATCAGAAATGATAAACATCCTCTTCATGGGAAGTGAGTAAGAGGACTCGAGTTACTTTAGAACAGTGGGTGTCGATAAGCAGCTGTCCTGCAGCCCTCGGGGTGGTCTACGTTTCTAGATGACCCCGGGAAAGCAAGTCCCCGAATGAGGTCTAGAGCAGAACCTGAGACACCAGACGCTGGTTTTCGCTCAGCCAGGTCTCCCTCATAGCTGCCTTGCGGTCAAATCTGCGGGCGAGCTGTTCCAGTTTCTCCTGTCTGATGAGCTCGTTCCGCAGAGCCAGTTCTCGCTCGTGTTCCGCTTTTTCCAGTCTTTCCCAGGCCTACAGAGGCAAAAAGGGAACAGTTTCCTGCAACGTTCAAGGAACTTTCCTTGGCTACAGTCAACAGCTAGTACTTCTCAGTAAGACCTGAGAACTCCGTAAAAGGGACATCCCGTTTCCACCCCCATGGACTCCTAAGCCTTGAGAAAATAAATCGTTTTCTCTCAGTTTAGCCTCATGGGAACACTCTAGCTATATCTAAAAGTCCTGTGTTATATTTGGAAAACAAAACAGTGTAGATAAGGAGCAATATAACTAAATTATTAATCTCTTACTCTGAGAGGAAACAGTAATTACCTTCAACAGATCTGATCACATAAAAAAGATAAATGATTTCTCAGAAAGAAATCATATTACGAATCTCTTATTCACCCCATCCTGAGACACCTGTTTCTTTGCAACATTTTATTTATTTAAGTAATCTCTATGCCCAATGTGGGGCTCAAACTCATGACCCCAAGATCAAGAGTTGCACACTCTACCAACTGAGCCAGCCAGGCACCCCCACCCCCTTTTTTTTGAGCTATTTGTTTTTAATTCACACATCTGGGCATTTTGTTCAAAATACTCACCTAATGTTCACAGCAAATTAATTTTTATGAAATATAGCTTACATTAAGAAAATTCCACTTAAAATAATCTAAATGTATAAAACTGACCACATTCTAGATTTTCCAAATTTCTACCTGGAAATAATGCCCACTGTGAAATTCTATAATTACAGACAAAACAGACCGAAATGGAAACTGTTGGACAGCCTCTCTGATAGAAACAGCCAAAGTCCTAAGCCCCAACCTCTAGAGATTCCAGATACATGAAATATGGTTTCAAGTTCTCCCTTCTGCAACTTAAAGATGCTAGAGTCAACTGCCTTGGACAGATGAAGAGTAACAGGGTAAAGAGAATGAACCAAGACTGGTTTGATAAAATCTAACATTCCCTCCCAAAACTCCGATAGACCAACCCACCACAAGTATTTGCTTGACCCCCTGTAAAACCCGAGCCACTGCTGTCACTCATCAGTTCAGCAGGCCGGGACAGACACTTTCAGACTGCCCTCTTAGCAATCAAGATTTAGAACATGAAGCCTACAGGTCAAGGCCCACACAGGACCAGATGGATGGGCTTTACCTTGTTAATGTCAGAGATGAGCTTGCCCTCCCGGGGCATGTAGACCTTCTGATTGTTGGCCCTCATCTTGCTCTGAATAGTAAAAAGCAGCACTTCCAAGTTCCCCTTCTCAGTAAACCTAAGTACAGGAGGAAAAAAAAAAATATATATATATACACACACACACACACACACACACACACACACACGTTCCTTCAAGGGGAAAAATTCATTTGCTTTTGGAGAAAAAACCTTTCACACAGCCATACAATTTTAAAAGCCATTTATCTCTGGCCTGATTTATGTGGTACTCATGTTAGAGAAAACAGTGCATTAGTTTTTGCGTATTACAGACCGCAAAATGCACCCAACTGTGGAATTTTGGTGGGGTTGGTTCGTTGCTGCTACTGAGATTTGTATTTGGGGGAACACAATACCACTCTTTTATTAATCACTTCATTCAAGGTTTAGACTACACATCCTGGATGATGGACTTCATTCAGAGAGCACAGCTGAATACATTCAGCAAGAATTACTTCAAACGACTACCTAGTGTAACTTTCAATGGCTTTCAGAGACCGCAGCAAGGAATTCACAACTGAGCTGGGTTACAGAAAAAGGAGGAACGACTTTCAAACTCTAAGAAGGGATAAGGTCCATAATCCTTATTTGACAATTAGAATTTTCAAAAAGAAGTCAAAAATCAATTTGGGGGACAGCAAAAACTGATCTGAACAGACAGATATAAAACTACTTATTGTCTGTCTGTATTCAACGCATTGTAGTTACACACTTTGCTACAGGCTTATTAGTAGGCCTGACAATGGGTTACTGTTTCAGGCCCACTGTGAGGCTTATAATAAACAATATACATGTACTCAGCTACTTCTCTAAAATCCAGAGCGTAAGGAATTCTGAAACACATCAGGCATAAAAGTCTAGGAAAAGGGACTGGAGACCTGTACCATCTCTTAGGATTCTCACGTATCAGTATCTAGATACCAGGGGCACAAACTACTGGGAAGGGCTCACAGAGGGTGTGGTTTGTAACACAGCTCAGCCACTCAGGGTCAGATAAAAAGGAGTAAGACAGACCCCTGGTGAGAGGCACTCATACGAGATGAGGTCACCTAAGTCAGAAAACAGGGGTCTGAGGCCGCCATCATCTCTCTGCCCACACGAAGGGTAATGCATTCCCATCTGCATCTTACTTGGGCGGTTTCTCCACAGTGCGGTAAGTGTTGAATGCCTGAAGCTGTTGTTGAACCCCAACCAGAGAATTGGCAAATTTGCGATTGTTCAGGATAATGATGGTTTGTTCAATCCACTCCAGAAGGTCAGAGGCAAGTGACTCATATTTTTCAATCATTTTTTCTGTTTCAATAGCATTGTCAAGCACCTGTAAACAAGAGTTAGAAAAACCGAACAGTAAGATCATACTGCCAAGTAAGGGAAATAGGCTTATAACCCTACAGAGCACATGCACACTTAATGACTGGCTGTGAAACAGTTCTAGGCTACTCTGACATAAGCATTTTAAACTCGAGGAACTATGTGTTAATAGGCACTCAGACTGCAGCTATTACTTGTGAGCAATGATGACAGCTTAACTCAAGTGTAATTGGTTCTGTAACCTCCCAACCCCCAGGCACAGGGTTTAAGATTCAGAATGACTCCTGCTGCCACAGCTCCAGAATTCCTAGAAAAACAAAAAGGGCTCTGTTTTGCCTGGTCCCATCCCATGAGTGCCCATGAATTTTCCATTCTCCTTGCATTAAGAAGACGGTATCATCTGGTCTGAGGTGTTCTGAAATACATGGCAGGTGAACGTCAGCCAAATGAAAAATAAAAAAGCGTAATAGTGGGGCCTTTTCAACTGGATAAGTAGGATTTCACACCCACGACATCAGCCAACTCATCAGATTTCCAATACCCTGTTTTCTAATAAGGTTGAGGGGAGACATGTCTCTGGGTCTGAGATGCCCCTCAAATCTCTCCCTAAATATTGTAGCTGCTGCTCCTACCTCCCATCACTCTTAGGGATGAAGAGGCTTCTGCCTACTTCCCTGCATCTTGGGGTGCCCACCACACACTGCTACCGGCTCAACTCATCAGCGCATGGGGAGAACAAGGTGCTCAGTGGCAGTACGTTAAGATGTGAACGCTAATCATGTCTCACAACTTATAAAATTGGTGTGAACTCACCTTTCCAATTCGTTTTCCTTCAACAGCCAAGGCCTTCATCTTAGAGAAGTAGTGGTAATAGGTCACCACATAAGTGATAATGGACTTCTCATCAGGGTGGTCCACACTGATATCTGTAACCCGGAGAAGGTTTTGTTCAGTACTCTGCTCGTGGCGCAACCACCCAGGCTGCAGGAACAACCCAGAACAACTGTTCAACACTGAAACAGGCCAGTGTCTTCAATGTTTGTATTTGAAAGTTCTGCCATCAGTGCATTAATTATAAGGCTAAAGAGGATGAAACCATCTCACCGACTCTTTTATGGTAAGAATGTTCATAAATGCCTTCTAACTACTGCAATGGGACATAAAGTCTTAAGAGACATGATCCTTCCTCTCCAGGATCCCAAGCTACCAAGAAGAAAACTAGTGGAGAAAAATGAGGACTACAGAAGAATTCAGTGAGAATTCTTCGCGATGTGGCTACTCGCCAGGCATGCTCATCTCCCTACCCACGTCCACTCCCAAACTGGGCTTGTGCTTCTTGTAACCTCATTTCTGCTGATGCCACCAGAACTGCTTCCAGTCACTGAGTCTTTGGACATCCTTATCTTGTTGTTACCTGGTATTCAGTTAGTCACCAAATCCGAGTCCAGATGATCCTATCTATGGAATCTTTATTGTCATTCATGGTTCAGACTCTCATGGTTGCATAAGCAGACCTGAAGCAAGGGCTTCCTCACTGGGTTCGGCTACTACCCAATGCACTTTACACACTGCCCCTGGTTGATCTTCCAGAAGCAAGGCTGCAAACACACTTTCTCCTAGCTCAAAATTATTCAGAAGTGCCCTACAATCTACAAAAAATCAAGTCTAAGCCCCTTAATCCTCTAGAATTTGCCTTAACTTTCCTTCCCTTCCTTCCAACCACTGAGTATCAGGCTCCCTATTAAGAGCCAACCACTGTTTTGACACTTCTAATTCTAGAGCCTACTATTTCTTCTCAGGCACAATCTGAGCCAAACTGGACTATTCAACATTCCCCATACACACTCCACAATTCCCAATATTCCTTCGCTTTTCTCACAATTTCCCTTTGCCTAAAAGGTCCTTGCCCACCCCATCCCCTTCTTCCTATCCTTCAAGGGTCCACCTGAAAAGTTATTGCTCCAACACAGCTGTTTCCAATCCCTATAGCCAGAATTACTGTCTCTCTCCTCCGTTCCCTTGAAGACTCTGTTTACATGGGTCAACAGTCCACTCTCTGCCAGGTACTATAATTTGCTTACCCATATTTTCTTTGTTTTACAAGACTACGTCCCCAAGGGTACGAACCTTGTGTCTGGGGAAGCCCTGTGCTGTTCCACCTCTCAAATTCCTGGTGTGTTGTCTTGCATAAAGGGGGTCGTCAGTAAGTATTCACTAAGGGAACCAGTAAATGTATAAAGATGCCAGGAGTTTGAGGTATGGCAATATTGGGTGACACGCTTAACTTGGGACAGAAAGAAAAGAGAATACAGAGGATGACTCTTAATTGATAATCAGGTTATTTTTCAAAATGCATTCACATGTGTGCCTTCTATCTTCCTGGCAGCCCTGTGTGAGGCAGGATCGTCTCTCTTAAAGACAAGAACACTAGGGCACAGGGCTGGGAAGCTCCCTGCCCAATGTCACCGAGGCAGCCTATGGCAATGGGGACCAGAACAGCAGCTACTGTTTCCACCCTAGTAGTCCTTGTAGCCAACTCTGTATCTGCTCGGCCCCATCCAAGCAGGCCCCGAGGAGAGAGAAATGGAGGAAGGCCCACCCCCCCCCAAAAAAAGAAAAAGAAAAAGAAGAAAAATGCTGGTCCTGTATGCAATTTAATAAACACAAAATGTCTACATAATTGGGAAGATGTGAGCAGGCAAAAACCTTGTGGTTTTGTAACTTGTCTGCAACTGTATCTCAGCTGATGCTCTCTGGGGCACTGGACAACTAACAATAGCTAAGGACAAATAATCAAGATCAAACCCACAAGGTAAGTGACATCACTGCCTTTTTTAGCTCCTTGTCTTGTGATCTGGGGAACATGTATCCCGTTTTTCATATTGGGAAGTGATTAGAAAGATTAACTAATGAGAAAGTTATTTAAAAAAAAAAAAGGTTATTTAGCACAAAGAGCTATGACTGAGAAAGAATGTCTTCCCATAGTTAAAACAGGGGTTAAGAAGATTAATCACAGCCCAAGGAATTTTAGTTTTCTGTTTATATTAAGAAATCATTTAATGGGTTAGCACAAAGATAATTTTATCTCAGCTTCCTGTATAGTGAACATATCAGTGAATCTAATGCATTGGGAAATAGCAAGCCTGCTTGGCAGCCTCATGACCTCGATCTGCCCGTGGGGAGTTAAACTTCCTGTTCTATATTTATAAGAAGTTTAAACTTTCACTCACAGTTTTCTCTCTCTAGTATTTGCTCACAGCTAAGAGCTGCGATCTAAAAAGCTCCAGTACTACAAACAAATCCTCTTATATTTCAAATGCTTTTTCAAAGTAAGAAAAAGTGCCTATGACAGCTCCTGCTAAAAGCCTGGAATTAGGATTTTGTTAACTAAGGGAGCTACAACCTGAGGGAATGCCCCACACAGGTCAGCTCCATGGCACCTGCAGTCAGTCTCTGGGGTCCTGCTGCACGGACTCTGAGTAGAGGGAGCAGTTCCGGGCAGGGCGTGGATGCTCTGCCTCTAGGCAGTCAGCCCTAAGAAGAGACTGTGAGTCCTAACCCTTCTTCCACCCACACGTTCCCGTTTCCTGACGCACCTTCCTCACTTAAGCTCTTCTTGCTCAAAGCAAACACTGCGCAGCCTCCTACAAGCCCCTCACCCCACCCCATCTGTACGCATTCATCCCAAGGCTGCTTGCCACCTTGGGACGAATGTCAGTCAAAAAGCATTCACTGAGAGTCTATAGCAGGTTCCCTTCATTGAGCATCACTGCTAAGAACTTTCAATGACTGATGAATAACCTCTAAAAATAGGGCCCCTACCCACCTTTCCAGTGGTAATTCTATTATTGCTCTAAACACCACTCCCAATGAACTGTTAGTCCCCAAACACACCTTCCTTGCTCCTGGTTCTGCACCTCTGCTCATGCAAGTGCGTCTGCCTAGCAAGCCCTCTCCTTTCCAACACGTTTAAATCATACTTGTCTTTCAAGGCCTTTTCAAATATAATCCTTTGCACAAATCCTCAAGTAATTCCCACACCAAAATTAAGCTCCTCTTCCTGGAATAATTCCCAAAGCACACTGCACAAATAAACTGACAGCAGATTTTCTACTAGCCCCTCACTATTAGAGATGCTAAAAGTCCCACCTTTCATCTCTCCAGTCCTTACCTTCTGGATCCAACAGTTTAGTGAGGCCAAGGTGCTGCTCTGCCAGGTTGAACGCATTCTGCAGATTGTAGTGTGCATTGGATTTCTTTAGTTTGTCAAAATCTATCAGGTCAGGCCTATGCAGAACAAGAGTGGAACATGACAAAAACCATGGCTTAAGAACACATATGACCAATGCGACATGATCATTACTCCAAAAATGGTAGAAACTACCCCTTAGCAGGGTAAAACTCTCTATTATTATTTAATCATCAAACAAGGAAACCTGATTTTTGAACAAACACTTCAAAGTTTATTAAGAGAGCTGAAGATAATGGGCAAACTTGTTTGTCTGGGAGAATTTACATATTCTCTCACATTTTCCTCACATGGAATGCAGGAATTCCCACCGAGGCGCAACATCTAAGGCAATGGATATGAGGGTCAAAAGTCACCCAGATGTGGGCAGAAAAATGTCAACATTCTACCCCAAAACTGTCAGTATGATTTCTGAGGATGTGACTTACCGGTGTTTGTGTATCAGTGCGTTGAAGGCCATGCCGTCCCTCCAGCTCGTGGTGAAATTGTGAATGTTGACGTTCGGGTACCTAACAAAGACAAAGCACAAGAGAAAAGGCAACAGAGTTACCAAATAAAGATTTACAGTTTTGCGAAATGCAGTGTTCAAGAAAAAGCTTGTAAGTACTATTAAAATGTGAGGCAATGAATATCAAAAGGACAATCAAGTCAGAAGAAATACTGCTTCAACTTCAGCTTTCTAGAAAATAAAAATAAAATACATATCCACGTGGCTTTTCTTTCTTGGTAAGTCAATCGGACAAAATATGTGAACTGAGTCTTAAATTTAAAACACCATGGTTACAAAGGAAAAAGTGACCACAACCCCCAGAGACCTCTGAGACCTCTTTGCCTCCACTGACTTTCCCCTCTGCCAGCAAAGATACCAGGACCCTGCAGTCACTGAGATCTGAATTCTGGGGAGAGAGCAAGCAGCTGTGATTATCTATTCATGAGACACTCAGCTTTCTTTCTGAGATCACTGAATTTAATAAAGTTTTATAAACCAAGTATCTCTCTGAAAAACTTCCCTCTATTTGAGACCTACCCCTATTCACTCAGCTATTCTATGCCATTTACAGACTTTGTATCTCTGGTTGATCAAAGGCTTCTAAGTTGATCCCCTTATTAGGAATACCCTCTTTATGAGCTCCATACTTACCATTAATCACGTCCATTACAGTTACAACTGTCCTCAAAGTAGTTCTAAGTAACTCTCTAGTTACCCTGGTAGGAAATCGTTTCTAAGTACCACGAGACCTAACAATTTCAGTAACAGAACAGATGCAGTTCTCTAAAAAGTAATTTCACTAAAATTTCAAAGGAAGAATAAAAGGAAGGAAAACCAACACAGGTAATGTATAAAGACTACTCTTAAGTTGACTGCACAAAGCTTCCCCAAAGCAGCAAAAATTAAGAGGAGGAGAACACCCCCAACTGCTTTTTTAAAGTATTGTGGATGTGATTCTTCAACATGGTTTCAGGGTTTTAAAATGCAACATATACTGCTCTCTGGAGCTTCCCTGATAGAGAGAGGGAAACTCCTCTCGTGCTGTGAGCTAGCTGCAATATCAGCCATCAGCTGCTTGCGAGTTAACGAGCCTTCTTGATGGAAGCAGTGGAGGAGACGGCCGTCAGCGCCGCAGAGAGGTGGCTGCAGTGGCCCCGGGCCCCCGGGGGGTTCAGACTCACCCCGCTGTCTTCATTTGGCACCACAACAGTAATGCGTCCTTGGCAGATTTCTTCTCCTTGTTGTCTTCAGTCTCTACACTGATGTCTTGGATCTAAGATTGACAAACAGGAGACGAAGACATGGCTCAGCTGCGAGGAACGGCCACCGAAGAACCGTTCTACACATACACGAAGAGTAAGCTTCAGATCACAGCCCAGCTGCGCAGACTGTCTACTGTGCCAAAGAAAACTGCTTTCTTCAAGGTTCACCTCACCGCAACACCAACCAGGTTTTCCACTTTGCACACAGATAGGAAGGAAGTGAAGAGTACTTACCTGCACGCCGTCCCAGAACCCCCCCCATTAGGGGTCACTTCTAACCTCAAAAGAGCCCATCTTCCCAACTACAAGTGCTCACTGTGAACACCCTGGACCTCGCCAGACCCCAGAAAAATCTTCGGTTCAGTTTTTTAGAACCAAATGTTTTTCACACTAAGGTGCATGTTCCTCTTTGATGAGGACAGCATATATACCTTTTCCTAAAAGCAGACCCAAATTCTCAGAGAAAACATGCACATGTGGGCTTCCATGGTCGGTGCTATAGTCTGAGTGTCTGTGGCTCTCCCAAACTCTTATGTTCAAATCCTAACTCCCAAAGGTAATGGTATTAGGAGGTGGGGCCTAGCAAAGGGTAGGATCCTCATGAACAGGACTAGTGCCTTATAAAAAAAAAAAAAAAAGGCTCCAGAGAGATCCTTAGTATCTTCCACCACGTGAGGGCCCAGTGACAAGTTCGCAAACCAGAATAGGACCTTACCAGACCATGCTGGCTTAATCTCAGACTTAGCCTCCAGAACTGTGGGAAATGAATTTCTATTGTTTGTAAGCTACCTTGTCTATGGTGTTTGGTTATAGCAGCCCGAATGGACTAAGACAGTCTGCATTCATAAGCCACACATGGAGAGCATAAAATCAGTATTATACACAGAGCCTGGTCTACTGGCACCAACATCAGCCTGCCTGGGTCTAAAACCTGTGTGTCCCCGGGCCAGCTCTGCAGCTTCCCACCTGAAGAACGGCAACAGCAACAACGGCTGTCTCAACACACTGCTGTGCACTTACGCGGAGCAAGAACATGAAGTGCTGAGCTCCTAACGAGGAACCCGTAAATGTTACTGCCCTACCAGTTATGTGATTTTAGACAAATGCTCTAAATACCCCTCTGCCCTTAGGTTCTTGCCTATAATACTACAGTGTGGGACGGGGATGGTGTTGGCCTAGAAGGCCGCCCGTCATCTTTTAGCTCCAGCTATTCCAAGCTTCCCTGCCCTGGTCTGTCATGGGTCTTCCTATTTAATCTAAAGACATGCCCCAGAATTCTTTCTGGAAAAGAGATAGAAGGATAATATATAAATACAAGATTAAAAAGTTAGGAACTTTCAACTAGGAAAACCCCTAAAAATTGTAATAATTATACTTCTAAGAAAATTACCCTTTTTAAACTATGCTAAGCATGTGAAGTATGAGTCTGCATAAACTCCAAACTCTATTATTAGGATCATTAGTTCTTGTGGAGAAAGTAAATGTGAAAGAATAACCTTATTCAAGGGGTAAGACACAGACTCATCGGGAAAGGCAGGTAGAATTCTACACATTAACCCCTGTCGACCTTCTCATGCTTGTGTGTGAAGAAGGGAATCTATTTTCAAACTTGGTCATTTAGAAACACAGTCTATCCTTCTGAAAGTATTTACAGGAAGCAAGACTTTCCTTCCAGTTTCTCACAACATCCTTTACTCTCTCTTAAATGGACAACAGAATGAAACCTATATGTCATCATTAGTATTTAATGGATATCTGCTATGCACAGACAGGGCAGGGCAGGTCCTGAGAGCTCTGGACACGCGTGTGCGCACACACACACGTGCGCACTGGGAATGTAAACAAGGCTGTATATTCAGGAGTTGGGGGAAAGAGAGATCTCTGTGGAATGTGGAGAAGCTTCACAGAGGAAGCAGAAAGTGAGCTGGGCCTTGGCCGATACAGAATCAATACCTATTTGTGGAATGGGTACTGATTTAATACAGCTGCTAGATGGAGGAAGCTAGGTCACATAAGACACCCACACTGCAGGCCATGCAGTGACATCTAGGTCTTTCTAGATTTCTTGCCTTAAAGGAAAGAGAAAGTTCATATCAGCATTTACAAGTTCAATTACAGAAAAAGGCAAGCTGTCAGGAAGCTAATTAGTCCATGACTCAACCCAGTTCATGCTGAGAATCCTGGAAAGGGCTGCATGTGCCGGCTCACCAACGGGCAATGACCCGATGTGAAGAGTGGCCACCATCAGGATGCCCTTCCACGCTCTGATCACTACAGGCCAAAGGCAAGAGAAAGAGAACTTTATACTCTACAAAACTGAGGTGAAGCTAAAGGAAGGTCCTACTAATTCCACTTCCGTTGGCCTAAGAATGAGAGCTATAATTAATGAATTTAATGGTATTGACTCCATTTTCAAATCATTTAGGAACGGACAGAAACCTACATGAGAGTTCTGTTTGCAAAACTGAGTCACTGATTGTTGTAATTAACTCCATTCACGATTTCATCTTCAACAGTGGTTCCCTCTTCAAAACTACTTACTGGGAATCACTGGGGCTGTGATCCAGAGAATCTGAATTAGTAAAAAGCTTTCCCAAGGCCTCAGAGGATCACGAGGCTTGGGAACCACCCATTCAGGGAGTTTCTTCGGACAGCTCTGTTTCAGCTCCTACCCCTCCTCCCACATACACACCCAGAACACTGTTAACTCAAACCCACTCCCTGGGGAAATGAGAAAGAAAACGACTGGTTACAGGCTGATTTCAGAGTTTTACGAAGAATACAAAGAGAGCTATAACGTGATTTCTGCTTCTGCCCTTTTTTGGTGAGATCTTTATTTTGCCAGAAAAATCAATCAGACTTTCTATCAAAGGCGTGGAACAGGAAGGAAAGGCACAGAGAACAGAGCCACCCAGGAGACAGGACTGTTAGGACATCTGTTTGCAGAGTAACCTGACGCTTTGGTAAGAAGTGTTTCCGGCATTTCAATTCTAGCTGAAAAGCGGGAGCAGGAAGCCCTGCCTGGAGAAAGAGCCAGTGACCCAGCCAGAGGTGCTCCACAGGACTGGAATTCTGAGCTCTCTCTTAAAGGGTCAGAAGCAAGCGCTGTAGCCCTGACCGGCCCTGTAATCCTGGATAAGGCCCCTCCCTTTCCTCACAAAGTGAAGAAATTAGAATGACCTTGAGAGTACCTTCTGGCTTAGAGTACTTCTATACTTGGAGCCTTCCCCTCGGGTATAACAAACCCATAAAACTGTCATCAATTCACACAAGCATAAGGCTTCTGCACATTTCCCCTGAAAACTGCTTCCTCACATCCAAAGGAAAATGAGAAAATGAAAATGGAGCCCACCCAGCTTCTCCTAAAAATACTCCAGGATACATGCTACAACCTGGTGAAGTTCAGTCAGCCTAATGCCAGTACCCTAGCGTCAACCACGTCTCTGTATCTCTGCTCCCGAAAGCTCAGGGGCAGACACCAGGTGTTTAGAGTGGCAGGCAGGGATGCAGCCCAGAAACCCCCTTATCTGACAAGAGAACTTTTCAGGGGCTGGCAAAACTGAGGGAGGATGTGGTAGCTGCCACGTGCCGATGGCGGCTGAATGCAACACACGGCTCTGCACCCCTGACTCTGGGATGTCATTTCAACCTGGTCTTCCTGGTTCCTCTGCAATGGGGAGAATCCTGGGGCCAAGTGTCCTTACCTGGAAGCGCAGGATGATGGTCCAGATGAGGCCGAGGGTCAGCCGGTGGTTCCCATCCACGATGTCATGGGAGCCCATGTTCTCAAGATGGACTCTCTGCTCCTTCAGGAACTGAAGGGCCTTGTCCACATTCTCCAGACAGTGGATGCGCATTCGTCCCTTGGTGGGTTTAGGCTAGAAACGGGAGTAGAAGGTGGAAACAGATCATCTAACACGGCAGACACAGGCTGGGAGCTACTGCCCAGAGTTCGCACGTGCCTGTTCATGCAGCGCTGCCCTACCCAAACCAAAACATTCAAAAACGTGTGTGCTCGCTCAGTACAAGGACAGTATTTACCTAACATCCTTACAAGAGCAAAGTTTACTGAAGGGACGGTGATCCCTCTTCAGAGGTTTGTTTAACCCTGCAAGGACACGGGTTACAAATGAGCACAGAGGCTGGAAGGTTAAAGAGAAAGGAACCCAGTCTCCCTAAAGGACTTCAGAGCTACTGCTGCCCCCTGACAGTTTTCTGCAGATGCATGGCAAAACACGCCCGAGGACTTTTCTGGCTGCTTTAAACATAAAAATAGGTTTGCTCCTTGCAGGTCTGGGTTGTTTCCTAAGGCTGGCTCAAAATGAAAAGGGGACACACTACCAAAGGAGGAGAATTTCCAAGTGGCAGTTCATGAGGGTGATGCGGAGGGTCGAGAGAAAGGGTGTGACTGAGAAGGATGAAGGAAAAGACAGTATCAGAGCAGTGTAATTTGAATACCCCAATGTCTCTTCCTTTTACCCAGTTCTATCCAATCGAAGCAACTCTGAATAAACGAAGCAAAAGATCAGGGCACACACCCAGGAAATTCTCCGTGGGTCTCCGTCATCTACTGGGTCTAGAGCAAGCTCATACCTCCACCGCCTGGCTCTGTCCTTTCCTCCTATCCATTTCCCAGAACAGCCCCCACTAGTCCGGGCTGCACCTCAGGCTGACGCTGCTTCCGGCTCTCCCAGGGCCTTTCCCTCTCATCTCTTTTCAATGACTAAGTGCACCTAACTAAGGAGACAGGGGTCCACCGACATGTGCTGTTTCAAACCCAAAGTGTCCTGGTGCCAAGGCCTGCAGAGCAATGAGCACTAGGCCGTTCTACTAACTGTAGCACACAGTCAAGTGTGACTCGAAGGGGGGCAAAAAAGGTCATTCCTAACTGAGCGTGAGAGAAACAGTGTGGATGGAATCAGAAGGGGCTAAGGAGGAGGGGAACAGGAAGTAGACTGGGGGGCTGTTGGTATCTTCCCAGGCTCCATCAGGTATAACCACTGTTCTTTCAGACTTGATCTTGAAAAACTCAATCGCAAACGCACAAGACCTTTCTCCAAGCCTCTATTCTCTCTCTACAAAATCTCAGGGGAACCTATGTTCCTTTCCACATCCATGTGGGTACAAGGTGTGAGTGGGGCAGGATGGTGATAAAGGTCCATTTCCCTGCAGGTTGACAAGGTCTAATGCCACATCACAGGGACGCCAGTGGATGCGACTGGCCATGCCCAATGAGCTATGGATGGTTCACTGCAGACCCAGATGCAACTCAAGCCCCTGAAAAGCACCAGCCATTGGAAACACCAGGGCATGAGACACAGGAAGGAACTGGAAAAAAAAAAATTTTAGACAAACCTCTTCAGGTAAATGATCAGATGCCTTCAAATGGTTAACAAACAAACAAACCTCATGAACTTCCAAAAGGCAGGGAAAAAAAAAAAAAAAGGAAAACTTTCAGGAACCACTCCTCTTTTTTACAATTCTCCCCCAAATCAATCCAAGATTGGGGTGTGGGGGAAGAGGAACTCCCTTTCCCTAAAATTTCCCTACTGCTCACAGCCTTTTATCTTTTCAGTCATCAAACACGAGCAAACCAGCTCTATGCAATATGCTTCTGTTGGACAATTCGACACAGAGGACAACAACTGTGCTTTGAAAAGCCTATATTCAAGTTACAATTCCACCACTTTCTAGCAAATCAGAGCCTTACTTCTCAACTGTTTACCCATAAACTGGTTAGAATACCAACAATTATCTCAAAGGGCAGTTACATAAATGAATGGTAAACTTATCATTACAGCATTCTCAAACACACAAAATGTCTCTCTACCAGTGAAGGGTACCTCAAGTCTTTTCCTCCTGACAATTCTACTTAAAACAAAAAAAAGGGGACTCCCACCTTTCCCTGTGTTTAGATATAATACACCTCTCTGGAGACAACAGGAAATATTTAGGCTCTAGACAGAATTTTCCCACTAAGAGCCTGAGAAGTTGACATACTTCAACTGAAAGGCCAGCTCAAAATCAGGAGAAACTGTCTCCAAACAGTGATGATGATAATACCACTCTTTTAATCCCGACACCCCAAATTAAATTCTGGACTGGAATGAAAGGAAAAAGTGGTAGAGAAAAATGTGGTTCGGTGGTGTCCCGACGGAGGGGAAAGGGTGTGAAAATACCCAAACCTTGACACTTGGGGCTTCTATACATAGTAAGCGCTCTGTAGTAGTTCAAAGCTTATTAGGAAACAAGTCTGAGAAACATGATTTACAGACATTCTAAATATTATTACTGCTCTGTAGCTACTAATTCAAACTGGGCTAAGTACTGCACAGAAACAGTTAGTACACGTGCTTTATCACCTCAGTCCCTTTACCACCCTCACGTTTCTCAAACACTTCCCCACATTTCATCTCCGTCGAAGCTCACTCATCTTCAGTGGCCCATTCACGCCTTCTAAGCCAAATGAATAAATAAGACACGGTGAGGTTAAATGATTCGCTGGTGGCACAGGAGGACGGGGAGTAAGAAGCAAGAGTAAAATTCAAGAACACCAGCTGCCAGGTCTCCTGTTTGCCTCAGGGAGCGCTTCTATCCTGTTTTAGGGCACAGTAGCTGGGCAAGCTTAGGGAGCAATGATGACAGGAAATTAATTTTAGGAAGTATGACTGATCTCACAGAGCTGTACCTTGAAACACACTGGTCATTAAAACAGCAGAGCTCCCAAGATCTAAACATTCTCAGCTGCCACTGACTGAGCAACTATGTTAACCTCTTTGTGAGGTGGTTAATGACGGTTATCACATTTAATCCTCACAGTAACACCATAGAATAATTACCACCTCACGAGGAGAAGACACTGGCTTAGACAGATGGGAGTAATCCATGCCGCAAGGATTCCAAAGCTCATTCTCTTCCTGCTATACCAAGAACCCAGAGTGGTGCACATTTCCACGTGAAAGGAAACAGACTCAGTTCCCATCTGGCAGATAGGTATCATTTTTTTTTTTTAAGTGCTATTTTTATATTACTAAACTTCCAACCTCTTAAAAGGAAAAGAGAGATAACAATGGAGAAAACTGAACACAATGGAATTAGGGGGAGGGGTGCAGTCCTCAGTAATACACTTTCTTGAGGCCGCGCCCCAAGAGCAGCTGATTCTGCCAAGAAAAGGAGCGTTCCCTGTCTTGCCTCCATTAATTATTGTCAAATTTCCACCATGACGCTGGTGTGTCCCTACCACAACGTGTGCCTTTCTGTCCTGGAGGTCACTTCTGATGGGGCGGCCTGAAATGCCATTCCCGTGGAGACAGGATCGACCCCAGACTCGCGTGTGACACAGAAACAAGTGGCCGTTGGGGCAGCAGGAGAACGGTTCCTCTGAGGAAATGCCCATTTTTACGGATCCTTCTTTAAATCATTTTAACGAGCTTCCCTGCTCTTGTAGGCACTTTTCCTGTTTCCCTTCCCAAGGCCCCTTCTAGTCCCAAGTCTTTATCAAGCACAGCTCTATCCTAGGCCTCACCCCAGGCCCATCTTTTTTCAGACTCCAAAGGAGGAGTGGAAATTACAGGGCTAAAGAACCACCTCTAGCACCTGACAACACAATTCCTATTGCTTATTAGAGCAACTTGTCCGAGCCCTGCCTCGGAGAAGCAGTGTGACCTTGGGTAAATCCACCCTAGTGGACCCAATGCCTTTAGAAAGCAACAAAGGAGCTGGATGGTCCCCGGTCCACCATCTGCCTCCACTGCCTGCCCATCCTTGAGTTTGAATCTATTATCCCCTGCAGAGTGTCAGGATCTGCAGAAGTACAGAATAATCACAATGGCAGGGTTTCTGTCAGAGCCTAGAGATGGCAAAGAGAAAACAAATGTTTCCTAGAGCGATCTGGCCTCCTTGAGTAAAAGAGGAAGACATAGGGGAGGATTTCTGGCAGGGTGTTTTGGTAGGCCCCCTGAGGTTTGGGCCACGCTGTTCCACCCTGGCACCCCCACTCCCTCAGATTTTCTCTATGGGTGTCCCAAGTCACCTTGAAGCCACCTGGAGCAAGAGTTCTCCAAGGGTTGCAGGGTGGACAGAGCACCAGCCCTGGGAAGTGGGAGAGGCAGACTCTAGGACTCTACCTGCCATACACTAGCTGGATGGCCCGGCTGGCCACTTACTCTGACGCTCAGTACCTATGAAATGAAGGGATCTAACTTAGTGGTCACCAAAGTCACTTCCATAAAATACAACATATGTGCCGGAGAGCGGAAGGCTTACTAATGTGCAAGGTGAATTCTCACGTGCCCACTGATCCCTTGCTCCGTTAAAGAGGAAATGGAGGAAAGACACCAACTGGTCTCCACGTACCAATGTGACAGACACTTGCTTATGTCTTTGTCTTTTAATCAAAAATAGTTTGACCACACACACACACACACACACACACACATGGCTCTACTTAATTCAGATGATAGGATGGGAAGCACTAAATCCAGTCTCCTCTAATACAATACATAGCCAAACTCACTTCACACTAAGTCCCCCGTCAAGTTTTGAGCTTTCACGAGTATAAATGATTCTTTTCCGGTTAGAATTAATCAAGGAATAACACACTGTGTCCCAGTAGGTCCTGCCTGTCTCCTCACTGACTGGGACCTCTCCCAATGAGTATTTCTCTCCAGGAGGGCTCAGCAGGAAAGGAGGGCACCAACAAACAGGAGAGTGGACTGGAGGCCAGGTTCTCTGACTTACTAGTCACGCTGGCCCTGGGCAAGATCCTGGCGCCCTCTGCCTAGTTCTTCCATAAAGCCTAACTGCCCACTTCATTAGACTGTGAGAACTCAGTGAAGATTGCGGACGTGACAGTATATACTAAAAAGCAAGACATGCTCAAGTTACCATCATCACTCTTTCCAAAAACGACCTCCAATTTAGCTGGGATGCTTTCCTACCCCAGGTCCTTCCTGATGCCCACGAAATGCGCTCCTCACTCTTCCTCACAGCAGACACCTGACCCTTATCTTCTCCGGCCATCCACACCTGAACCCCTCCCTCCTGGATCCTGCTTGGAACCCCACCCACTTGCCATCCAGAAGGCTCGTTGCCCCTTCCCAGCTCTAGGGCTCTGGGACCATTCACTCGGTCCTTTATGGTGCATACCTAGCACTATTAATTCACGTTTTGCACTTTTTGCAGTTAAAATTAGACTGCAATTTAAGGGGGTGTTCCTCTGTGGCTGTTCGTTCAAAACAAAAGAAAATTCTCCCAAACAAATGATATGACAAACAACAGGTAGATTCTGTGGCCAGTTCGCAAAACCCCATCTCAACAACAACACATGCCAGTATGGCTCTCCTAACAAAGGCTTTATGTAAAATTCACTTGGGCGCAGTTCAACACAGGGTTTAAGGCTTAACAAATCTCACGGTAAATCTATCTTCCCCACCTAGCTCAGTCTGTTCTGGAATTAACGGTGGCAAAGAAAAAAAATCCTGTTGATTTCTCTTCTTTGACGCTGAGTAAGAGAGTAAGACGACAGAGTATCAGGAAAACAACAGGCAAGCAAAAACCAGTGCTATTTGCAACTGGAAATGGCAGGAGCTGGGGGGGAAGGGCAGAGGTGTTCAGAAAACCCTGTCCTCTCTGGGTCAGAGGTGAGCGCTCTGGGGGGAGGGAAGAGTGTTCAGAAAACCTTGTCTCTGCATTAGAGGTGAGTGCTCTGTCTGGCAAGAACAAAGCAGAAAACTGGCGGCCTTACTTAGAAGCATTCTTCACTACTGAGGCCCATGGAAGCACAGGCAAGCCTCAAACCTGGGTTGTGACCTGTGGGCTCCACTTCACCCCCAAAGTCTAAGCCTGACAATGTTATTCCCAAGGCCCTGGGATCTGGGACCAATGACAAAGTAACTGACACAGGTTCTGTGGCCATAGCTTTGATCTGCTCAGCTGATGCTGAAGTCAAGGGTGGGCCTATATTTTTTAAGGGAATTTTTAAGCAACACCTTCATGAAGAGTTACAGTCTACCGTAATTTCGGAGTAAGATATTGGAAAAAAAATTTTTTTTTAGTCAACAACCCAATCCCACCCAAGTATGAAAAGCTTTCTGGCTCAGCCTCAGAGATTCCTCATTGCTCCACAGACTGATATACCGAAGGCAAAGACAGGGACATCTCCAGACACAGGTCCTGTCCAAGCCAGGACCCCAGAAGGGGATTTCTGCCTTCTGACGTTCCCCATACAGCAGTATCAAGTGCCTTGATAACCCAAATGCCTACTTAAAACCTTTTCAGGGGTGCCTGGGTGGCTCAGTCATTAAGCATCTGCCTTCGGCTCAGGTCATGATCCCAGGGTCTTGGGATCGAGTCCCACATCTGGCTCCTGCTCAGCAGGAGGCCTGCTTCTCCCTCTCCCACTCCCTCTGCTTGTGCTCCTGCTCTCGCTGTCTCTGTCAAATAAATAAAATCTTAAAAAAAAAAAACTTGTTCAAATGTAATTCGAATTCTACTGAACCGAAAGGCAGATGGGGTTAGGGTGGAATTGTCTGGGTCGTTAAGCTAATGTTTCTTTGAACTTCACTCAGTAAAAATCAGACAAATTTCCTCCTCTGTAAAGAAGGATTAACTGCCTCCAAGAATTTATTAATAAAGTAAGTTTAGATACTCTAGTTTTTCAGACATTCATCTGTTATACACTGCCAAGCTGACGGTAAGGCATGGAGCTAAAATGCCGACTGAGACACAGGTCCAGATGGAAGGCAAACGTTTGTATCACACGGGGTTTGAGGTCACTGGTGCAGAAAGCCCAGAGCTGACTGAATGCTATCTGACCATACACGTTTAGCTGAGGACAAGAATTTACCCACGCAGGGCGCCTGGGTGGCTCAGTCAGTTAAGCGGCTGCCTTTGGCTCAGGTGATGATCCCTGGGTCCTGGGATCGAGCCCCACGTCGGGCTCCTTCCTCAGCGGGGAGCCTGCTTCTTCCTCTCCCTCTGCCTGCCGCTCCCCCTGCTTGTGCTCTCCCTCTCTCTATCTCTATCAAATAAATAAATAAAATCTTTAAAAAAAAAAAAAAAGAATTTACCCACGCCTGGAAGCTCTAACCGCCTCATTAGTTTTGTACTCTGAATATGCAAGGATCCTTTGGGGCAGGCCCTCAAGGAGGTCATCTCCTTCAGGGATGGTCTCTAACTTGAGTGTCCGGCAGCCTCCACTGCCAATAGCAGAGAATAGTTTTGTGTCCCCTCCAGAAAATTCCGTGAACCAAATAAACCATGGGGCCAAACAGGCTGAAAATCTTCAGTCTGAATGAACAAGAGCTTTAGCTCACTCTATCTATGGTATTCTTATTTTTGGAATAAGAAGATTAATCAGACTGCACAACCTATAATCAGGGTTGGCTGTGAGGAACGAATAACCAAAGAAGCTAAGGCACTTGGGGGTTCACAAAGTGGTATGTCATTGCTAAACACAATTTCTGGCACTGACTGCCTGAGAGGTTGGAGATAGTGCCCATCCTATGTTCTTCCCCACCCCTACTCTCCTAGGTCTCTGGGTGGCTTAAAAAAAAAAAAGTATTGATAACAGCAAATAAAGAGAGGAGTGGGAGGGATCTACACATGACTAAGAATTATGCTTTGTTAGTTGCTTTCTTTTTCCCTACTTAAGTTCTTGCTACCCTGTTCAGAATGAAGGGCAATAGGACTGATCCCATTTGTTATGTGGATATTATCAAAGACACAATCTTCTTAGTATTCAAGAATTATGGACCTTCAAAGGTGAACACTTCACTCCCTACAGCCTGGAAGACTGAACCCTACTGGAACCAAAATAAATGTTCAAATTAATTTCTATCCACATGACCTTTAAATAATTTTTTAGCTATTTTCAAAAACAAACAAAATAAAATCAATCAATAATCACACTAGACATTTATGAAGAAAAAGATGAGTTGAGAAGTAGGGGAAAATGCCTGCTTATAAAAATTAAATTTAGGGGCATTTGGTTGGCTCAGTCAGTAGAGCATGCGAGCCTTGATCTTGGGCTTATAAATTTGAGCCCCACATTGAGTGTAGAGATTATTTAAAAATAAAATCTATAAAAAAAAACCAAACCAAAAAAACCCAAAAAACTAAATTTAAAGGTGCATATCACAATAATTCTACCCTAGGTTCTCACACAATACACACTTCAAAAAAACAAATCAAAATGCAATAAATGACAGGTCTTTATCCTCTGCACATGAGCCCAACTGCCCCCAATCTCACCCTCTCGAAACTACTTTCGGGGCAGCCATCATGGTCTTGAGCAGAAGCCTCCTTTATTTTTCTGAGTTTGGTTAGCTTGACCCAAAACTCTCAAAGAAGATGAGGTAACAAGACCTGCAAGCTTGAGGAACAAAGAGCAGAGACAAAACTCACTATAGGCGAGATGGGGCCTCACTATCTCTTAAAGGACTTGGTTCTTGAACACAGGGGCAGGGAGAGAGAAAACTCTGTGTTTTTACCCAGGCTCAAGAGGCAATTCTGTTGGTAGGCTAGTAACAGGGCAGAGGTGTAAGGGTCGGTCTGCATACAGACCCGTGCGGCTGTCAAGTTCCAGGGTGGAGCTCAAGTTAAAAATAAGGCTTTCTGGCAGCCCTGCCAACCAGCAGCGTCATAGTTTCCTGGTGATGTCACTACAGGTGTGGGGCTCTATCCCTGGGTGTCAGCATTTGGCTCGGTCCCACCACCACCTATGGAACTACATGTGCTCTGGTACAATTTAGCATCTATTTTCAAACCGAGACCAGACAAAACCTGTTGGGTCAGTTACAGGGACTGCTTTAAGGTTCATAAACAAAAGTCACATCAGAGACAGCCGCAGTACCTCTGGGAAAGAGAATGGGAATAGAACTTTGAGTGTAGGCTGACAAATCCCCTGCCCAAAAAGGCACCACGAACTGATCAGAAGCTCTGTGTTTCCAAGGAGATGACAAAACACCAGGCTCTCCCTCCACCCCCAAAATAAAAAGTATGCAAGGAAGAAAGCAAAAAACATCAGAGACTACTGAATTCAATTCTTGCCACCTTGTAACGGCAGCTCAGATTTTCCAGACAATCTGTAAGAAACAGATTTAAAATTATTCCATGACCTCGTGGAATACAGATTCATCTTGGAGCCAGTGCCTGAGTCTGGCCCTGCAATTTCCAGCACCGTGCCCTGTTTCACAGCCAAGATCTTTCAGACCAAGGGTAGTAACCTCACAAATTACCAGAATGAGGCCACTCAATTACAGTTCAAGAGCATCAGCTAGACTCACAATGGTACACAGTTTTCCCGACATGCTCATCTCACTATCAAGGTTCTCCTTCTCAAAAACATCAATCATTAATTGCAAAATTCATCAGGAAACACAAGTCCACACTTGATTTTTCAAAAAAATTCTCTGACCTATGGTGCAAAGTCACTTAATAACAGTGCCACTTACCAGCCTCTCTCCAGAGAGGACCTCCAGGAGCTTGATGAGCATCCGTCCATCTCGAAGGTCAGTGTACAGGTCTGTGATCCGGCAGGACACTCGGGCGAGGTGGGAATTGACCCACTTGGTGAAGGTCTTCTTTTGCACAGCTTCGCGCTCATCTGCAAGCAGAAGAGAGCTCACTTTACCATCAATTACAGCATGGCCGCAGCAGCTATGTGCTAGCAGGGTCAAAAGACCCCAAGGGAAGAACAGGAAAACTAAACTCTGAATGAAACCTCAACTTAGCTCCTCTTAAGCAAGATCAACTCTTCAGGAATGTAAGAACCATACAACCCTTGAACACACCCAAGCCTCTCAGTGTACCACCAGCAGAATATCCTTGCTCTCATTCACTTCATTTTCTTTGCTCTCTGCTGAAGAGGCCAGAGGATACAGTGGATCACAGGAGGGGTCCAGTGCAGCCCTGCCCAGCAGCATAACATTTGGTCAAGTTTCTAATGTATACGTTGCAGCTACTATTATTCCGCCAAAAGGCGTGTGCTAGGCAAGTACACAGTATAGGGAGGGATGTGGGGTAGAATAGCTAAGGAGACAGCAAGAAATTGCTTCCCTCATGTATAAAGGAAGATGAATTCACTCATGTCATTTTAATGACACTCTTACCTGCTGAGTCACACGTCCCATGAATAACAGAGAAAATGGCAAGCAACTTGGTGAGGTACAAAGAGATCCGGCCGGGCACTGGGAGAGCAAGGCCTGGGCCCAAGGTTTCACCAAAAATGTGCTGAGATACTGGGTTCAGGGTCCCCTTCCATAAGATGGGTGAACAGCTATGATCTCCAAACTTCAACCATTCATTGAAAATTCAACTGCTAGTTTATGGTCTAGAGTGTGGTAGTTGAACATCCAAGTGATCCAGGAAACAGTATTAAGTTTTTCAAGCCTCAGTGATCAAGTTCTGTCCAATTCAAAGCCTAGACACATCTGCCCAGAATTGGCCTTTCACATCCGTACAAACAGGCTTCCAAACTTCTTGCCTCTGCAGAATGTTCTAAACGCAGGCTGCTGAAACCTTCAACAGGGATGCACAGAATATACCCTGTACCCATTCGTACTCACTATTTTCTACAGATACCCTTCTGTCAGTTACTCACCCCACTTCTGGTTCTGTAGCATGAATTTGCGCCAAAAGACCCAAGATCTACTCCTTCCAGTGTTAAGCCCAAACCCACCAACGTGTTTATGCATTAATCTACAAAAAAGGGAGCAGATCCCCAAATTTTTTTATGTATTTCACCACTACTAGGTGACAACTCAAAAGCCACCCTTGACTATAGGGCATGTACCTGGTGGCATGGGGATACTGGGATCCCAGGCTGGACAGAGCATCCTGGGAGGTCTGCCTGGAAGGCTTCGCTGAGGCCTCCAGCTACCCTACCACAGGGAGGGAGCCAGGCGGAGCCAACAGCGGGTGAGCCTGTACTGCGGCCAGCCTGGCAGGTGAGGCAGCTGGCCACCTGCTGCGGTGAGCAGCTCCTCCCAGCTCAGCCTTCCCCTAAAGGAACAGTCTGTCCAGAGGGAAAGAGGGCCTTTCCCCGGGACAAAGGCCAACCCAAAACAGAGGATCAGAAAGGGCAGGACTGAAGGAACGAGAAAAAGGTAGTAAGGGGGCACAGTGAGATGAAAAAGGAGCTGTACCAATAACATCATGAGAAGTCACAGAGAGATCACATGCATTATTAATCACACAATCATCATGATGGACAGCAACTTCATGACACTGACACAGGGAGCTGTATTTTTTGCTGAAAGTTGGCGGTTTTGAAAGCGGGTCCAGAGCAGAATACAAAAATATTAAGCTTCTCCTAAGTACATTTCACAGATAGCAAGTAACTCCTGGTTCAGATGTTTTTAGGGTCAACGAATTTTTTTTAATTGTAATACATTTTATGTGCTACACTGGAGTTGGAAGTGTCTTTAATAAAGCCCTTGATGGGTATCGAGGCTGTTATTAAAGGGTTTGGGCTCGGGCGCCTGGGTGGCTCAGTTGGTTGAGCGACTGCCTTCGGCTCAGGTCATGATCTTGGAGTCCCGGGATCGAGTCCCGCATCGGGCTCCCTGCTGGGCAGGGAGTCTGCTTCGTCCTCTGACCCTATCCCCTCTCATGTGTTCTCTCTCTCTCAAATAAATAAATAAAATCTTTAAAAAAAAAAAAAAGGGTTTGGGCTCAAAGTCACTACACCACACCCAGCCTATCAAGGGACAAGATCAAAATGAGAACCTGCTTGGATTATGGTATTTCTAAATAAACAAGCACAAAAGGTGTTCCTCAGCCAACTGTCACTCCTTTGGGTGAATCTCACAGTACAGAAACACTCCTGGCTTCTTTCAGGTTCTGAATTAACAGGTTCCTTTACGAGGGGATTCCAGAGATTTGCTTCAAAAGACAGTAAGTGCACTCGCCCAGCACCCAGTTCTGAGTGACAGTCCAACCCCGACTTTCCTCCCCTAGGAGGAGTCTGCTCCACTGAGCAGAAATAAAACTCTTCCACACAGCCTGAGGATCTGTGTGAGGCGGGCTCCTCAGGTCCCCAGCAACTCCAGGAAGAAGGGAGAGAAGAGAAGGAAGAGGAGAACTTCATGAAAATAAAAGGAGAGGAACGAGAGCTTGCTTTCTTGTCCTCACTCCTGCATTCTTCTATGCTCCCCACACAGCTTACGAGCAGGCCCCAGGTCACGTAAGCATGCTAGAAAAGTCACATAAGGCCTAAGTTCCTCCAGCTCGCGCCACGCGCTGGAAAAGGCACGGAAGATTCCATCCAAGGACTGGACCAGAACCAACACTCTCGTGACACAAGAGGGGCAGGAAATGGGCTCAGCAGTGAGACACAAGTCCAGTCAGCTTAGTGTGTCCTCTTACAATGGATGGTTCGGTGAACAACAAATACTTCTGAGGCCTGAAGAAGGGGAAAGGGAGGGTAAAAAATCCACCCAGCAGCCTAGCTGAGGATGAGGCGGTGTGTCCTTGGAGACTCCGTCCTTTGTTCCGCCCTTCCTGGGAAGGCACGATGACCCCTGCACTGGCAACCCGGTGAGACTTGGGCAGACCAAGCCGGCCGGCGGCCTGAGGAGGAGCAGGCGGCCCCTGGCACGGATGACGGCAGACGGTCCACAGGCGTGTCTCCACGCTTGAACCGCTGCCACTGTGCCAGACTTGCGGGAGGAAGCGGTGGGAGGAGCCAAGGAAGGACAGCCCACTTCCAGTTCCACCAGTATGAGGCAAACCTGGTAACAAGAAAAGGGAGGCCTCGCAAACCCCATATTGATTTGGTTATTTAGACCAGGGGTTCTCAACTCCCCTCAGGACACCAGACATGGGCAATGTCTGGTGACATTTTTGACGGTCGTGCCTGGGGTGGGGGGAGGGGTGCTACACTGGCATCTAGCGGATAGAGGCCAGGGATCCTGGTAAACATCCCACAGTGCAAAGGACAGCCCCCGCAACAAGGAATTATGTCAGGCGTGCCCAGGCTGGGAAATCCTGGTGTAGACATTCTGGGCTCCCACCAAAAGGAGGTGGCATTTGTAGCGTCTCAGACTGCACTCCCAGAGAGCGAGAGACCCCCGCACTGGGGGTTGTTGTTCAGTCATGGCTCTCTTCGGCCCTGGCCACGACTTTGTGACCCTGACGGTGTGCGGGGTGGCCGCAGCAGGAGCACTCGGCACGCCCTCCACCCCACCCATCCCACGAAGCACTACTTCCTTGCAAGAAAGAGCAGCTGCCTCTGTCTGTGCCTCCAGGACAAGCACAGGGGCAGGAGGCTCAGTCTGGGCCAGTGCGACCGCGGCCACTTCCGTCCCCAAGCCAAATCATGCCTGCATCTGCTCCCAACAAGTTGACATGGCCGAGCCTGACACTGGAGCAGGCTCCCCGTCCCCCCACCCCCAGCCCTGCCCATAACCTGCTAAGTGCTGCCTCCCAGGAACAGGCACCTCCACAGCCCTGTTCCCGGGAAGGACCTCTCAGCTGTTGTCAGTCCATGCCCCTCCCCACCACAGTATTTATTTAGAGGGACTAACCTCAGGTCCCTCTAGCATTGGATGAGAGGAGGTGAAGCGCAAAGTGCCCGGCTTGTTTTAACTGTTCACTAAATCAGCTCCCTCTCCACTGGCCCAGCAGAGCAGCGCTCTCATCAATTCAAACCATCTGAGATGCAGGATCATGGAGCCACATGGCCGCAGGGTGCACCAAGGCTTAACAAGTCCTCTAAAACAACACTCTTTCTAAAGCAAAAACATCCCTTCTACCGTACCTGGGCCAGCTATTTAAAATCCCAGAAAGGGAGGAAACTATGTGTGTGGACATGGCAGTAGGTTGTCAACAGTCTTACAGAAAGGAAACAGTTTGTTCTTTCTTTTTTTATTAAGATATTAAGAGCATCACTGAGACTTACTATGTCCTAGGTACCTATCTATGTGCTTTACAGTCAGGTAGAATTAGTAAGTTTCCAGGCAGGCTTGCTCTAAAGCCTGGGTTCTCAAACACTATGCAATAATGCTCCTAGCACGACATTAAAACACAAAACCAAACACGTTTCCATGATACAAAACACAGAATCACCCATCATCTCACCATCCTAACCCAAGTCCTTATTTTGTGAAAGGTCTGCTCCATCACTGGGCAACTCCAACTATTGTACAGTGTCTCCAACCAGTCTACATATGTCTCTATGGCCCAGCAAAGTTCGCTCCACCTACAGAGACACAGAGAATATGGGTCTCCTCACTCATCCACATAAGGGCCTTCAGATTTAAACATTCCTCACCGACACCTCTTTGCAATGAGTGGCACAACATGGTAGGCAGAGTGGAAACCAAGATGGTACCTGAGGACACGACCACCTCTGGTAGCCTCGCATCAATGCATACCAACCAATGGAAGGTAGGACCTTGAGGCATTTACAATGCTAGCAGCCCAGAGACAGGAAACATTGGGAACCAGGTAAAGAATGGCAGAAGGAATCAGAAGCCACCCCCGCCATGGGAGGGGACCTGGTGAGTCTATGTGTCATTGCAGGAGTGGGAGTCAGGAAAGGCTAAAGCTACTCTCAAAATAAGCCTCCAGACCCACTAATTCTACCAAAATGTCCTCAGAACC